GTTTGCCTTCGGCTCAGGTCATGATCCCGGGGTCCTGGGATCGAGCCCCGCATCGGGCTCCCTGCTCAGCGGGAAGCCTGCTTCTTCTCCCTCTCCCACTCCCCCCGCTTGTGTTCCCTCTCTCGCTGTGTCTCTGTTTGTCAAATAAATAAATAAAATCTTAAAAAAAAAAACTTTAAAAAAATTACTTCAAACAGAACTTCAAAAGACTCTGGGGAGTTCTAAGAGGCACAATGTTATTAGTATTAATGTAGATTTGTGGCCATACTCCGCGTGGAACTAGCATGAATGGAGCTAAATGTCTCCAGCCTTGACAGGTTTTAGAACAGCTCGAATCTCAAAAGTCTGTATCATCGTGCTCTCAGACCCCTCTTGGAAGCATTCAATATGTTGAAAGGAGTTAAAATGAAACACATTGCAACTTCTTCCTTGGCCCTGTGAAATACAAAACTATAGCTCCTACTCTCTAGAAGCTCAAATTTTCCCTACTTTTTTCCCCCCATAAAATTAGCTGGAACATGATCTTGGGGGCAGCCTTTCTGATACCTTGACCCAAAGTTCATATTGCAGTCTGAGCAAATTTTTTAATGATGGCTGCCCGTTCAAATATCAAGGTGGCTAAAAATACATGCTTGAACATAGAACATAGATCCTTGAACTTGATGTCTGTCAGCGACATGATTATTATTTTCCTTCCAATGTTCTAATTAAAAATACATTTGCTACTTCATCTAGAACTAATGATGTAATGTATGGGGATTAACATAAGAATAAAAAAAAAATTAAAAAAAAAATACATTTGCTATTACATCTCCTCTTTTTTTGTTTGCTTGCTTCTTTCTCCTCAAAGACTGATATTTTTGGTAGCACATAACTTTGTATCAAAGGGGGAATCGTTTTCCCTTGAAAGCAACTCAAGGTTAAAAATAGAAATTAATGAGAATTTTGGAGAAACAAATAATTAAACCTTACCCCCTTTAGACAAATTTTGCCCTAGAATAAAAGACTTTGCATGAACAGGAGCACAGAATCTGTTGCTTGCTCACCAATTCAAACAGGGTGGTAAGCATGTGTGCGTGTGTGCGTGCACGCACACAATGATTGATTAGCCCAATTTGGCTTTAGGAAAGGCACTTTAAATTACATTTAACAATTTTATTTCTTTACCCAAAAAGCAGAATTGGCCATGCTCGTGACATCTATAAGAAACAATGCTGTTTCTGAAATTATCTATCAGAATGGAGCATGTTCTCTTTAATGCTGGCTGGTGTCTGTGAATCTCCCCATCAACCCCACTAAACCGCACCCACCTTCAAACACCGTATGGCTATAGGATGGAGAGGTGGAAGAGAGAAAAGGCAAATAAAAAGTTCCATCATAAATAACTGAAATATTAAAGGTTTTTGAAAAGAGGTCATAAAAAGCTAATTGAATGTACACTCATCCCGATCCAAAATGCGCAAAGGAAATATCACTTCCATTTAAAGAGAAGTTATTACCAAGAGTGCAGGTGGTTGCCCTTGATGACTTCCACGTCCTGGGGTGGCAGGATCAAGACTGTATTTGTGGCAAAGGTCAAAGCTTCTGGGGAATGAAGAGGAGGGACCATATTATCTCGTAGGAGGAGATTTATAGCATCCAATCCTCCAAGCCTGTTTACCTGCCTAACTGCCTACTTAATGTGCAGAATTTATGTATGGTATTCTTTACAGCTCATTTTGTATTTGAATTCCTGTAAGAGGTATGTTCAAATGGAAATGGTTTTTTTAAACATGCACAGTCAGATACACACACACACACACACACACACACACAGAACACCTGGCCAGAAATTTAAGTTGTATCTAGTTTTAGATACAGTCTTATCAATTTGTGTGGGTAAATGAAAGGCAATTGGAAAGAACAACAAGATAACACTGGCTATTTTGGCACATGCTCTTGTTTCT